CCCTTCAATAATATAACTTACACGATTTTTAATTTTTAATTTAAATTTTAAACTGAAGTATTTTATATTTTCGATAATTTTGTCTTTTTTTCATAATTGACGGTTAGTCATTAGTAGTTCTTGTTGTGATATGTGAGTATAAAGTATAATACTATAATTATTGTTAAAATACTAGGTACTGACCATTAAATTATTTAATATTATGTATTATGAGTTGAGTTTAATATCTGAGTTAAAATCCAGGTTTTTTTTTYATTAGATATAAACAATCTGTACAATATTAGCACAATAAGCTTAYTTGATGAGAGCATWGACAAAACAAAACAAAAAATAAAAAAATAAAAATAAGACATGAAAGGTGTGATTAAACAGCCACCCATTAGTGACATTTTATCAAGTAAAATAATTGATGAGGCACAACTCTAATGTTTTCACTTAAAATATTTCTGATTTCTTCAGCTTATTAAATAGCACTAGGTACGCATCTTTATAGTCATATTTATTTTAGTTCAGATTTTTTACGACTATGATATGTTAAACAAATAATTAGATKTTACAGATGTAGGTACCCTTAAAGATTTATATATATTTAACTGATGATTGTAAGTTTCAGTTATTGAACCATATATTTTATTTTGATACCTTTTCATTCTAAAGATATTTTAAAATGTATTATTAAAATTTTATTTCATTTATTAATTTAATTGTGTCAATACAACAGGTATTTTTAYAATGTTAGGCATTATATACGATTACAAATGTAGATTTAGGTATTCTGTTGTGCTTGTCCATGGTATTTTTATAAAGCTTTTAAAGACTTGTATGTACTTAAAAGTTAAGACATCTATTTTTTTAATCGTGCCAAAAATATTCATCCCAATTAATGTTGGAAAAATTAATGACAAATATAAATTTATTAGTGAGTGATAATTATGATGTTAGATATTATTTAACTATCATGACAGTCATTAAATACTATAAGTAATATGTTATACAATTTTACATGATTTTATTAATTGTAATATGTTATAATAAAATTTGAATGTGTATTATACTGATAAATTTTTAGAAAAAAATTGAATATCATTGTGTACAATRTTATACTGTACTTAAATTTAATTTGYTATTGGTAATGCTAAAAATAAAATTAATGGGTATACATATAGCCTACAGCTATAAAATAAGTATTTTTTAAAAGTCAAAGAAAGTAATTCATAACAACTTAATGATATAACTGAGTCACTATGTATTAATAAATAAAAATAATAATCATTCTAAGTTCTTTAAAAATATTTTAAATTCATCTATTTTTTTTCATACAAATAACAAAGAACAGGTAGGAACTGTTTGCCAATTATAAATCTATCTACATTAATACATAGGTAAACACTCATTTTCACGAAGAGTATCAATAGTTTTGGAAATATTTTATATATAATACATTACTATATAACTGTACCTAATTGTTAAGTACAAAAAACATTTTTAAAACAAATTATTTTTTAATTTTTATTATATTCTTGATAAAAGATGCAATCTCACCGCAAAATGTACATTATGCAATGGAAATCACCCCRCCAGGCGTCCACTACAGTGGATGTTAAATTTTTAAAAATCTATATAGCTACTACAAAAATAATGACTACTCATCAAAAATAAAACTTATGCAAATGAAATTTAAAATAATTCAAATTATAATACCAATACATAGT